AAAAAAATAGTATATTTCTTTCTTTTATACAAATTAACCCAAATCTCATCCTCTTCACACAAATTCATTGAAAATTATCTCAAAAATTGCAATAGCAAAGAGTTCTTCATTGACAAACATTAAAAAGCTTTGAATTCAACATCTGTGTTTTACGAATTTTTGATTTGTTTGGATTGGGTGCTCTTGCAAACGATTGAGAATATAACTTGGAGTTTATATCTCAATTTTGAGGGAGATTGGTTAAGTTTAGAGTTGTTTTTAGGTAAAGTTTCATATTGAAACTCGAAGAAGAAAAGTTTCTGAATTGTATCACGATTGTATTATAATTGTATCATATTCGTTTCATAATTGTATCACAATTGTATCAAAGTTGTATTTGATTTGTATCTGATATATTAATACCTAAAATAATACCTAATACAATTATAATACAATATTGTTTCAGAATTTAAGTTTAGAGTTTTGATTGAAACTTGAAGAAGATGAGAAAGATCAGAATTGTATCACGATTGTATCATAATTGTATTTGTATTATAATTGTTGCAGAAATTGTATCGCAAATGTATGATAATTGTATATGGTGATGAGCAATTGTAAGTTATGAGCTATTATCATATTAGTAATAATTTTGCTAGAGTTTAACGATTTTTGAATTGTTGAAGAAACTTTATAGCAATTGAATTTTTTTTTTGTCAACGCATGACATTCTACATCAAAGAAAAAATTTTGTTTTTTGGTTGCTATTATGGAAAGCAATTTTTGTGCTATTGGATTTGTTAGATTAGGTATCACTTTCCTAACATTATAAGGATAATAGGAACATAGAATATGCTACTTGCTGAAGACGTGCAACTATTGAAGAGAGAGAGAAGAGATCTACGTATTGAAAAAATTAGGAAGCATGAAATGAAGAGAAGTGTGAAAAAAAGGAAAGGATATAATTGAATCCCTTAATTAAAGGCATTAATAATGGGATGAGACATTTTTAAGGAAGGAATGTATACAATTTGTAAGAAAAACCTAGATACTTTTTACAAAACCTAGAGAAAATAAATTAATAAGTTCCTATCATAGTATATATAGGAAAAACTTTGCTTTTGAACTTTCTCATCACAGCCTCATCAACCAAACATAAAAAGCCGACCCTGCCAAGTATCGAGCAACAGGAAAATCCGAAACCTCCCTCAGCAACATCTTGATACTTATTCCAACTTCATCAAGCTAGTCAAATCCATAGCCATCTAGTAAAAATGTACTTGTCCAATATAGTACGCAATTAATTAAGCACATGCGGTTCGGAACCCCTATGAAAGGGCAAAAATTCCTGGTGAGACAGCACCATAACATAGTAATATCCCACAAACCGAATCAACTAGAGATCTAGTACACCATCATATTGGAACCCTAATAGACAGGGTATCACACCCGACTACAGTAATGAAAAGTACCCTAGCAGCTATCACATAACCTCGCCAAAAGAGGCACCTCTATATGCCACTGGAAAGTTCTACGGGGATTTCTAACAGAATTGCCATTATGAAGATAATACGAAAGGTGAGATACATGTATCCAGCAAAGTGCAGGTGGAGTCGAAGAAGGTTAAGTTTGATAAATTAGCATTCTCACAGTCGGCAACGAGCACATGTTCCATTAAAAGAAAAATCACTAGGAGACTGGGTCACCCAGCACAACATGAACACGCAACTTGGCTTCTGCAGAAGATGCATGAACAGCATCCAGAGGATCCAAATGAACACATTAAGCAGAATATCAACACCAAAAAGCAGCATCAATTTGATAGGCTATCAGCTAACAGCAGCAAAAGATCTACAGAGATCAGTTAGAGCGTCATGCATATAAGCATGAACTCATGCGCTGTAACATACTGCAACTATCATTAGCTTAATTATAGGTGCTATGCGATGCAACTGTCATTAGCTTAATTATGGGTGCTACGCTATGTACTTGAAGAACATATTTTACACCATAGAGCACATAAAAGATACTACAACCAAGTATTAATTGGGAAATTCATTATTTATTTTATTTACTTTGATAACCATAAGATGAAGAAACCATATCAGCGCGATGTTTACGGTCAAACAATCACTATGCCTGAACTCATTGATTCAGTCTAATATTGAAATCTCTACACATTACAAAAACTTGACCTGGAATCAACTTCTATAGCTACACTTACAAATGTGGTTTTTTCCATCTTTAAGATGATCATAGCTAACATCTTCTCAGGGCAAAATATGAAGTTAAGGCAGAAAAAGGAAATGACTGTCAGGCCAAAGGCATAAACCTAGCATGACCTCAGAAATTCAGGAGTTCATTATCCTTACCGAGCATGAGCATCCTGAACATTTGAATAAAAACCGCTAATTTGTCACCAGCAACAAAGTTACAACAGCAAAAAAAAAAACAGCATCAACAGCTACTGCATCTGCTACCATTCAACCAACAAACAGTAGTATGTCACCAGCAACAAATTATAAACAGCCAAGTTAAAACAGCATCGACAACTGCTGCATCTTCTTGCCATTGACCTAAGAAACAGTAGTTCGTGACCAGCAACAAAATTACAACCAACAGCAAATAAAACAGCATCAACAGCTACTGCATCATCTTGCTATTCAGCCACATTGACTTTTCACGGACCCAGCTATAGAAGGCCAATAATTTTCATCATAAGTAAATTACCACAAGGTATACTATCACAATATATGCAGGTATACTTTGAATAAGAAAAGCAATAAAAAATCAAATAAAGCCAAACAGAAAATCCACAATAATTATAAACCAACAATAGATATCTTAATATCAGAACACCAATCCATAATACCAGAATGCAGAGGTAACATCAAAGTTATGGTATGGATCAAGTACAACAAAAGGAGTTAAACCTTATAAATAAGTCAGGCCAATCAGTTCTAGCAAGCAGAAAATAGATGAAAGGTCCTTCATTTGGGAATGTCCTCTTGATACGCAGCATTGACCAAAGCCAGATGACAATTGTGGCCTCCTCCTTTGCTACTTAATCCTACAAAAGCAAATAATGTTTTCTCATCACATTTATACTATAATAAAACAATGTATGACAGCCACAACTTACATCAGCATCAGAACGTGGCAAGGGGCTGCGAGAAACAGCACGTCTACCACGCGGGGAGACACTCTTGGGAGTTGGAGACCGCTCCTTGCGATTACGACCATCTGGACTAGCATCCCTAGAAGGGGTTGTTCTGCGTGGAGAAGGGCTCCTCCGAGGACTTGGGCTACGACGAACAGGGGAGGCACTTAAATGTAAAATAACACGTCAGACAAAGCTTATGAGATGGCTTTCCCCGGGGAAGAGAGAGAGAAGAAGCAAAATATTAAATAAATAAAAAAATTCTACCTTCCATGAGACCGACTTAGGCTGCGCCTCTCTTCATCATATTTACCCCTTCCACGAGCTTTGTGATAATCCGGGCTGCGGCTTCTGCTCCGCTGACGGTAATCTTTGTCTCTTCCACGGTACCGATCACGGTCATACCTCCCCCCACTTCTACTTCGGCTTCTCCTTTTAGAATCTTTGTCCCTATAATGATCTCGATGCCTAAGATAAACAAATAAATATATAAATAAATAGATAGATAAAAGAAGGTGAAGTTCAGATTGTGAAATACCTCCCCCTACAACCTCTTTTAGCTCAGAAAAATGTCAATCATTTAACTCAAGTACCACACAAAAGTGGGAAGCAAGATTATGTGAACACTTCCACCTTGTTTTGGAGAGGTCATCGGTGATAGCAGAAGAATATCAACAAATGGAGAACAAGAAAGAGGTAAGAGAGTATTCATTTTAACACCAGTATCCATTCTAACACCCAAATATGCTTATCCACAAAAGCTCAAATTTAACTATGCGTTGATTGGATCACCACATTCCACACCCATAATAGGTTTTGAAGTTATAGGTTGTTCTAAACACAATCCCAAGCAGATAACTGATATCAGTATCCAGCCAGGTAGTAGGTGATGATGCTGAACATATAAAGGAATCACCATCTAATCAAAATGAAACATGATTTCGCAATCCTACTCAGATATTTTGACTCACATATTTTGTAGTGTTTGCAGTGTAGATCGTTTTAATTAATTAAAAGCAAATGTTTTCTTCCATTTAATATCGGGGAAAAAACACACTAATGGCAGGAAGCAAGTATATCTCACAACATTATTTATTATCATAAACATTAATGACAGGAAGAAAGATAACGATTTTTCTGATTTCCATACTTCCCTCTCTTACTGAGATGGCTGGTACATACTACAAAGACAAACTGAAATCATGAAGGCCAAAATAAAGTCATTATCAATTCAATCATTCAACTCAACAAGAGGAAAAAATCTTCCCCAAAAAAAGAAAGCTTAACAAAGCTGCCGATTTATTAAGGGCAAATTCCATGTACAACAGCTGATGAGGAGGATAATTTTACTTAGAATTCAGAAAACAGTCACCAATTTTTTCCAAAGATCATCCAACTAGTTAGGTTTGTTGACTGAAAAACCTATGGAAGCATCACCATCTCCCTTCCATTCCCTACTCCAGATCATCCACGTTTAATTAAGGGCGGAAAAGGACAGGGAATTTCACGAAAATCAATTACATAGCAGTTTTCACATGTTTTGATTGCAAAGATTCATGAGACCCAATATAGCATCTCTCAAGCAGACAGTAGAATTTTCTACTAGTAAAGCCTGCAGCGTGATTTTAAAGGATAGTTTTAACCTCCACATTCTGGTTACCAGAAGAAAAATTCTGATAATTCTTTTGAAATCAATCAGTTAAAATCAAAATTTGTAAATCTGAGCAAAGGAAATGGTCAATAGTATAATGTTAAGACAAATTGGCAAAAAATCTAAATCTCTGAATGCCTTAAATTATGTTTAATTACACGAAGAGGAGGGAAGTCCCAGTAAAGAAGAACTCGTATGTTCTCTTCCATAAGGTTGGAGTATTTTGATATTCTACTCCTAGTTGATTAGTACTTACATAAATAATCTATATCTATATTACATTAAAAGCACGAAGACTCTTAGCGGAATGACGTTCATCTTTTTTACCCTTTTAAACTAAAGTTCACACTGGACAAAATAGTCATTTGATTATTTTCCTAATATTTAGTAATAATTGTCTAATAAATTTCCTAACATTTAGAACTTTGAATCAACTAAAATTTTGGCTATTAAATCTTTCCAAAACTACTAATATGCAGAAATTCAAAATCGAGTAAAATTTTACTTACCTAAAGTCCTTTCTTTTATGATCTATTATTTCGACATGAAAACACTTAAACAATAACAATTAATTAATAAAAAGGTTTATTAAGTACTTGAAAATTATTTCTGTCCAAGTTTTTGCACCAAGTATCTGTGTTCTTTTCTGCAATCTCTTTGTTGTTTGTGAAATTATTGATTTAAATTAAAAGTTCTTCTCAAATGTGGCTCATTAATTTGTTTCTTTTGTGTTTTAGTTCCTTAGTTATTGACGGCTTGTAGTGCATTACATATCAAGTTATTTATCGTATAATATTAGTTTAAAATTAGTCATTTTTAGACTTTATCAATGTCAATCATACATTATACTTATTTTTCTATGAGTTATAGGGCTAACCTCTTCATTCTCAAAATTTCAAAAAGATCAAAAGTATCAAATTTTAAATTCATTTTATTTGGCGTGAATCTTTGAAGAGTTGACAAAAGTATAAAGGAATAAATATTTAATAAAATTTAATTTTTCAAATTTCATACTTAAAAGAAGTGTGCTCATTTTGAATTTAATATAAATCAACGAAACAACAGTGATTTTCATAAGATATTTTAAAAAATACTCATTAAATTCACATAAAATCCAAGTTTATAACAATATAGAAGTTTGCATTGTTAAGTTGTTTTCTTAAAGAAGTGCTTTACAATATTCAAGTTAACAATGTGAATACAAGTTAACATATTGTTCTACTTTTTCCGGGCTTCCAAATAGATTTAAAATTACAATAAGGCATCCAAGGATTTTTTATACATGATTTCTTTCTTTATTGAGCTAGCTTATCTAAGATCAATATTCATAATTTTTAGGCGCTTAAACTTTTTCTCTTCATTATTGTTTTATAAACTTAAATACATTATTTAACAATAATATTTATATAATTTTAAAAAGTTTATACTTATTAACATGGGAACACATGCAAAGGGCGTACCTTAAGACTAGTGTGAAATAAATAGATAAACTCCTAATTTCAGTGCATTTTTGAAAGTGTTGGGATAAATAATTATAAAAAATAAAAATAAAAAGAGAACTAGGGAGGGCTATCAAACCCTTTACGGGTCGTTTGGTTGGAATAGGGCTTATGCCGGTATAAGTTATGCCGGTATAAGTTATATTGGGATAAGTTATGTTGGGATTAGTTATGCTGGGATTGTTGTTTATTCATTGTTTGGTATGTTGTATTAAGAATGACAATTGTATAATTTCTAAGAAGAAGGTATAAGTTATACCGGTGCTAATTACCCCATCTTCTATAAGGTATAAGTTATCCCCAGTGTTAAAATTAACACCGGGACAACTTATACCAGGTTTGTTAACCAAACAGAGTATTAAGATGATATTAAATTTTTATACCACCCTTATACCTTCTTATACCTCATACCAAACGACCCCTTACAGTTTTAACTTCCAGTAGTCTTATACTTACTTGCCAGATAAGGAAACTCTACTCTATTGTTTCCCCAACCACCACCAGCTCTCTTTTCACCTCCAACTAAAGACAGTGTTAACCTGTTTAGTATTATTTGAGAACCTTTAAAATCGCTTCTCTTAATCCCTGTTATTAAAAGCCATCACTTCATCATGATGGAAGGTTATCGCTTCAAGGAAGCAGTGTGCTTTAAGAAGTGTGCACTTCAAATAATGAAGCGCAAATTAATATAAAAGAAAACAACGATTTATTGAATCTCAATTTGGAGGAGTTGGATATATTTTGGAAATATTATATAGTGGATGCTAAAATTAGTTATTCTAATTGTAATTAACTGTTATAATACTAAATTCATATATGCCATTTTTTCTTTTCCATAAATTGCGCGCTTCAACGAAAACTAAAGAAATAAATTGCATGCTTCATTTCTAAGAAGTTGTGCGCCTCACTTCTCGCTTTTCACTTCAAGTCACATGGACCTTGCTGCTTCTTTTCACTTTTCGCTTGTAAAAACATTGCACTTGACATAGAAAGAACACATGATCACAAATTCCCATGAAATTCTTATAGGAAATATCCCCAAAGTTTGATTATGACTAATCAATAGAGCCCAATGATCAGGATCGCATTAACAAAAACAATTATATTCCAATTGAAATCCAAATATCGACGATAGGACTTTAAGTGGACACAATTAAATAATTAAGCTCTTACCTTGACCTAGGACTACGGCTTCTTGACCTTCCTCCTGTCCTATGTACAGGCTCCAAAATTCTACCTTTGTCACTGATAAGAAAAAGAATCCTAGTCTCTATTAGACATAGTTTTACTGCCACAAAACAAAAGGTTATTACAACTCAATTTATAGGGTAAGATACACCTAAATATAGAAGAATAAAAACCACAACTTTAAACAAGGAAGCTCTGCAACTTACTGAAT